TTTGTGTGACAAATTCTGTTTAACATAATGTGCTGGATAAAAAAAAGTGTCTGGAGTCAAGATTAATAGGACCTTTTGTCACAAGCAACATTTTAATGGTGACAGTAGGAAACATGGGGTGAATGCTTAAAATGAATGGTCGCTGAATCCATTTAGCTGCGTTCATGTTAAGGGTGCTGGTATTGGTGTCAATGCTGGTCTCACTGTCACATGCCATGTAGAGAAATAAGAGAATAGAGCTTGAGATACCGCGGATATTATGTTTTGTGATACTGTACACAAAGTTCATTGTGTTTTAACTTTTTTGAACTAATTTTCAACTAATGTTATGCAAATAATGATATGTTCTTTGTATTATGACAATTTCCCAAAATTTTGAGTTAAAAACGCAATATATTGGGCCGTAACCCCTGTATCATTATCTGTATTGCTTTGCCTTAAAGCATTAGATGTTACTTTCCTATCTTAAAACCATCTTCTTGGCTGGTAGAGTGGAGTGTGTGTGTGTTGTGTGTGTGTGCTGTGTGGTGTTGTGTGTGTGTGTGTGTGATAGTAAAATAATTGTGAATTTTAATGTTAATATCTAGTAAGGATCTGCATACACAGTTATCTATATTCAAATGCATTCCTCAGATTATAGGTTTTTATTATTTTGTGTTTTTGTTGTTGCATTTCCTCAAGTATTGTTTTTCATATACATACCAACACAAACAAGTTGTTACTTTTTAGCTTTTATTTTTAACACTGTTTCATCACTGTGTTTTGTTTAAATCATTAAACAAAGGCTCTTTTTTTCTCCCGAGGGAATGAAATGAGCATCTTTAGCACTAATGAGTTTTACTTAAATGTAGCCTGAGCTGCTTGTGTTTACATGTAAACACTGGCATGGATGGAGACATTTGCAGATTGAGGTTGTGTGCGCTTGTGGAGCTGTTTTTTATGCAGATGCCGCCATATAATGTTGGGTATCAATCAACTTTTCACTCCTATCCGCAATATAACACACACACACACACACACACACACACACAGGGCTAGTGTGGGCACCAGGCTGACGGAACATGTTGTTCACGCAGAAAGACAGACAGACCGGAATAACTAGCTAAGCTCATCTTATCTATCAGGCTAATCACAAAATCACTATGACTTAATGAAAGAGGATACAGGGTGACCGGTAATACGTGATTTTGTTGTGATATTGGAAGCATTTTAGGTTCTT